CTGAGAGAGAGAGAGAGAGAGAGAGAGAGAGAGAGAGAGAGAGAGAGAGCACAGTCAGTGTAGACTCCTCATGCTTCAGCAAGGTCAGAACGTGAGTGTGTACCCATACCCACACACAACTTATGCTTTGGCTTCACTGATGCTAGCCGCGGGAGCATACTGCGTAGGGTCTGATCAGACTTCTCTTATACCAAGTACTTTTTGGCATTTTCTGGGATCCTACGTCTTCCCGCGTTTGCAGGTTGGCCCACTCTTCATAGGGGAGTGGAAACGAAAGCCGTCCTGGCAGTTGCACCGTGACTGTGCCCTTGTCGGTCTCTAAAAAAGATATGCTAAGGTTCATTCTATCGGAAAATTCTGTCTTGTTAGACGCGGATTAACACATCGAACTACCTATGTGGCTGAAGGCCTCTACAGTCTAATCACAACGACGCAATTATCAGGGGCGCGCTCGGCGGAAATCATCCCCTGCTCATAGAAAGAAGGCGGCCCTTTTTTTTTGCTTTCTTTCATGTACGCCCTTCGTCAGTGGTTCGTGAAAACCCCGCGTGGCTAGTGAAAGTCCCGGCTTTGGCGGCGGACTCGAAAGCCCCGTGTGGTTACTGAAAGACCCGGCCTTGGCGGCTATGTGGGATTCAAAATTTCTTTCGGGGCCCGTGCCACCCCGCTCCACTAAAAGCGATCTATTTTGGTTCTTTCCAAAAAGAAAAGAGGTGGGATATGGTATTTTTTACCTACTGTAAAAGAAGCGCCTGCCGGACTGTCCATGCGCATCCTTGTACAGCAAGTTCGTACACAGACCGACAGCGTAAAGGATTCAAATTTTTTTTTTTTTTTTAAACAACAATTATATTCCAAGAGAGAAAGTTCGAGGTTGGGGACCTCACAATTCAACCCGGAGTTATCCCGGCAGCATCAGCCGGTTTAGCTTGCAGTCGTTAGACTGAATAGTTACCTTGCCACTGAATTCTCATCCAAATGATAATGTCTGATGATGTCTACTTACCAGGCCAGCCAATCCACTTCTACCAAACTACTGTAAAGAATTCGAAATCCTATCAACATTCAATCAACACATAGAACTAAGCCAAGTAATCAATACCTTTCTATCAAAACACTTTTAGCCAGAAGAAAACAATAAGGGGCAGTTTCCGCAGCTAACCAGACTCTCGCTGCAGTATCACAACCTATGAAAGTACAGCCTAAACCAGCGGCCTAGAGTTTCTTTTATCATTCCCGCAGCCACTCTGCAAATTGCAACTTACCTTCTGCAGAGATCTCCTGTCGTTTTAGACCATGTCTGGGAAAACCAGTAGCGATTCTTTCTTGCCTGAGACCGAGCCCCCTGCCAGTCACTCTGGATTGTCCTGCTTATGAGCACTTCTGCCGCAGCAGCAAGTTCCAGAGTCACAGCAATCCCTATCGTCTTCCCCCAAACACAACGCACGCACATTATGCATAGACTGTCTTTCTGGTCAGGTACAGCTTTGGTGAGGGTGCTTTGTCCTTCGGCCAGTGTTTAAGAGTAGCAAAATCAGGCGAGAAGAGGGGGAAGGAAAGGGAGCACATGGCAAGCGGTCGATTGCTCTTTGAGTTCTTCGGCCCGCGTTCAAGAGTGAAGCTGAGAGATCGACGGAGACACTACGCTTTGCTTCCTATACGGATTAAGATGATGGTTATTCCAATGATGATGATGATGATGATGATGATGATGATAATGATAAGTCAAGCAACAGTGGAGCCAAACCAGAAGCTGTTTGTGGGTGTCGGTGCACGCTCACCTTACAGAAGCTGGAAGAGCGTTTGCTCTCTGCGCAGGTAGCGTCAAAGTGGTCGCCTTGTGTCCTCCACCGGTGTTGTTGCCCTCCTCCCAGCGCCACGTGTCCAGAGCAGAGGGCACTGTCTTAACCACCACATGCAACTCCCCTCTCCTGCTTTCGCCACGTGTCCTCTCTTCAGTCAAGCTCGTCTGAAGGCCGTACCGGTATCATTTCGGAGCACCACGTGGCATCGTTTCTGTCAAAGCCACGTGGCCTGGGCAGAGAAGACAATGACAGAGAAGCTGTGCTGCTGAGAGGTAACATTAATGTCACCCGAATGCATGCGCAGCGCCACGTGGCAGCCTATCCTTGGGCCCTCGCTATGAGCCCCAGCGGATGACGTGCTCAGCCACTGGGGCGGCTGATTGCTCGCTGAGCGGTCATTCAGTGCAGCGGGTAAGTGGTCATTAGCGCGGTAATTCACTGGAGCAGTTGATTGGACCCGGTGACCATCATCAGAGTCGCGATCCTAATCATCATCAGCAGCATCAGACCAGAAGAGGAGGAGATGGAGATCGGATGATTACCCTTTCGGAGGAAGAGGAGATATCACCGGGTAGACTTGCCCGTTGCGTGACGCGGATTATTGCTTGTGTGGCGATGATGATGATGACGATGATGGCGATGAGGATGACGATGAGGGCGATGAGGATGATGATAATGGTGATGATGGCAATGATGATGATGATGATGATGACGATTGCAGGGATGAGGATGACGATGCTGAAGGCGACGATAATGACGATGATAAAAGCGACGGGGTCTACTATGACAAGGAGGAAGAGCAAGAGCAAGAGCAAGAGCAAGAGCAAAAGGAAGAGGAATAGGAAGAGGAAGAGGAAGAGGAAGTGGAAGAGGAAGAGGAAGAGGCAGAGGAAGAGGAAGAGGAAGTGGAAGTGGAAGTGGAAGTGGAAGTGGAGAGAACGATGATTATGGATGAGAACTATGGGTGATGGTTATTATGATCCTCATCATGACGATCTTGACGACGCTGACTTGACGAAAAAAACACCAATCACGACCATCGCCACAATGATGATGATCATAACCAGGAGGAGGAGGAGGAGGAAGAGAGTACCAGGACAGCGATTATCTGGCGGCCCGTGGCGGGTGACAATAACTATAGCGCGCGCTAGTGACTGCGTCAAACTCGCCGAAAAGACTAGCCGCCTGTCCGGCCCAGCCGGAATTTCAAACGAAAAAGAAAGCCTCGCAGGGATTGCTAAAGTGCGGGCACAACGGGCCTCGCTCCACTACTCTCGAAATGTGCAAAAAGAGAGTGAATCTTCGCCGAAAATATGGACAGATACACCCCCATGATTTTTGTCTTTTGTGCACATTTCGAGAGTAGTGGAACGACGCCCAACCACACGAAAAATGAAGCGAAGTACCTATGGTGGGAATGCGTGGTGGCCAGAGGTTTCTGGGAATGGTT